CATCCTGGAGACAGTTAAACCAGGCTGCTCCTTGGAGGCAAGGATTCTGGGATGACTTCACCTGACATACTTTGGACATATTGGAAGGAGGGACTGGTCTTTGGAGAGGGACATCATGTATGGGAGGGGGGGAAGATCCTCTATGAGGTGGATTGATTCAGTGACTAGGGTAATCGGGGTGGGGGTGTTGGAGACAGTGAGATTGGCACAGGACAGAACAGGGTTTAGGGCTGTTGTACATAACGTTGCTATGCATCGCAAGTGACTCAACAGCATATAACAACATAGTCAATCTAATGGTATGCCTGTGTGTACCATCAGGTGATGTCCATGAGTATAGTCACTATTTATGTTTCTTATAAAAAAGTATTTTCAATGTATAAATCCTTTTTTGTACAAAATTTATTCTATCTCCAGCCTCATTTCTGTCACCATGTCCACGCTTTGGTGAATAATGATCCTTTTCTGTCCCCAACTTTTGCATTCCAGTTATCCATTATTATTAATGCATGCTGGTTGCATGTTTGATAGATTCCTGACTGAAAAAGTTGGTAGAAATCATCCAGTTTCTCCTCCTTTGGCTCTGGTTGTTGGTGATTATATCTGAACAATAATGATATTAACTGGACTCTCTTGTATGCATGTGGACATTATCCTGTTACTCACAATATTGTATTTCAGGGTGGATCTAAAAATAACCTTTTTAACTATGAAATGGACCCCGTTGTTCCTCATCTTTTCATCTGCAGTGTAATAAATCATGTGATTGTCTCACTCAACAGGTTATTTCACCAATGCCTAGTATATTAATATTTATGTGTTCCATTTCTTTCTTAATATTATCCAGTTTTCTTTACATTCATTCTTTTTACATTCCATGTTCCAATCATTAGTGCATGCTTACAACTCTTCCTCCTCAGTTGTATTTCCAAGTACAAGGGCTCAGCCTCAGGTTCCATAGCTGCTCATCTACTCTTGTTTTACTCTGTTGTACATAGAGTTTTTGATTGCCTGTTATTTCATGTGAAAGCTGTACTTGGACCAGGAATTAGTGGTCAGAACAGAGTAAGGAAACACTTCATGGTTCAAAATCAGGAAAGGTGTACATCAGGGATGCATTCTGTCTCCATACTTTTTCAATCTATATGTGGAACAGATCATTCGGGAGGAATAACCTACGTTATGTGGATGACCCAACCTTGCTTGCAGAAACTGAGGATGACCTGAAGCATTTGCTGCAGAATTTCAAGGACTTCAGTCTTCAGTATGGATTGAAATTTACCATCAAGAAGACAAAAATTCTCACCACTAAGCAAATTGGCAGTCCCATGATATATGAAGAGATTGAGATTGTTAACAATTTCAGCTTACTTGGCTCCACAGTCAACACTCTTGGAATCAACAGTCAATAAATCAAAGGACAAATTGCTCTGGGGGAAGATACTGTCAGGGACCTCTCAAAAGTGCTGAAGAGCAACAATATCAGTCTGGAGACTAAGGTACACCTGATTCAGGCCATGACCTTTGCAGTTGCTTACTATGTATCAGAGAGCTGGATAATGACCAAAGATGACAGAAGAATTTATGCCTTTGGGTTGTGCTGCTGGAGAAGAGTACTGAGCATACCATGGACTGCCAAGACAATAAACAGGTTTATTCTTGACAGGGTGAAACCAGACTGCTTCTTGGAGGCAAGAATATTGAAGCTCTATCTCACATACTTTGGGCATGTAGCCAGAAAGAGTCCCTGGAGAAGGATATCATGCTTGGAAGTGTGGAGGGACAGCACAGAAAGACCCTGGATGAAATAGATTGACACAGTAACATGTTTAATGGGGGTAGGTGTGAAACTGAATCAAGACGGAGCAGAGTTGAAAGCTATTGTACATAGGGTTATATGAGTCACCAGTGACTGGGTGACACATACGAACAACAATTGCATTTGGTTCCAATAGCTGTTCCACAAGTGAAAGATGGATAGTTTCCTCCTATGCAATTTACTGCATCCTAAAACCTTCTGGAGGGTGAACTATGAGTCATGTCTGACACAACTTTACATGAGAACAAGAGCAACAAGAACTAGTTATTTTGAACATTTCTTCGTATATTTGTTGGGTATTTGAATATTCTCTTTGATAAAGAGTCTTTTGTTGTCTTCTGCCTATTTTGTAATTTAGTTGATTGTGTTTTTCTTGTTGAAGTATTGTTGAATAGCAGTCTAAAATTTTTAGGTGTAAGTCCCTTAACAGGTATGTTATTGCCAAACTTTTTCTCCTTGTCATTGGGCTTCCCTTTTGATATACACAAGGTATGAATCTTTAGAAGGTCCCTTTTATCTGTCTCATCTTCTCCTAGTTGTACATTTTTTTTACTATGTTTGATAGCCTATCCTTACTATAGGTTTTTGTAACGTACCATCTTGCTAAACTGACTGACCCTATTGTAGGTTTTCAGAGGCTGTGAATCACATGGAAAGAATTTCCCATCTTTCTCCTGCAGAATAGCTGGTGGATTTGAACAGCACTCTCTGGACGTAGCAGCACAACTCTTTTCCACTAAGCCACCAGAGCTTCATTGCCATAGATTAGGGCTTCTAAATTTATTCCTTTTTTTCTGTGATGATCTTTATAGCTTTAGATTTTACCCCTAGGTCCCTCTTCTGCCTTGAATTGACTTCTCTATGTGTTGTAAGATGTAAATCTTGTTTAAGTTTTCTGCAGATAGATGTCGAGTTTTGCCAGCACAATTTGTTAAAGAGAATGTCATCGCCCCACTTAATGGATTTTGTCTCCTTCTCAAAGATCAGTCAACCACAGGTTGTTGTTAGGTGTTGCCAAGGGGAATACGATTCATAGCAACCCTATGAACGTCAATCCTAAACCCTGCCGTATCCTGTGCCATCCTTATTATCTCTGAAACACTCAAGCCCATTGCTGAAGTCACTGTGTCAATCCATCTCATTGAGAGTCTTCATCTCCTTCACTGACCTCCCATCTTTCCAAGATGATTTCCCTCTCCAATGTACCACCTCATTGGCCTACATGTCCCAAGTGTGAATGATGAAGCTTTGCTATCTTATCCTCCAAGGAGTACTATGGCTGCACTCTCTTCAAGACATATCTGTTTGTTTTCTCAGCAGTCCATATTTAGAACTGTACTCCAGCACCACAACTTGAAGGCATCAATTCTTCTTTGGTCATCATTTTTCATTGTCCATTTCTCTGATGCATAGCAGGTGATTGAGAAGACAATGGCCTCAATGAGATTAACCTTAGTCTTCAAAGTGGTATCATTGCTCTTCAACATTCTAGAACAGTCCCTGACAGCAGACTTGGACAATGTAATATGTCTCCTGATTCCCTGACTGCTGGTACCAAGGGTTTTGAATGTTGATTCATGATTATTTGATTTCTAGGTTTCTTATTCAATTCCGTTGATCTACGTGCCTGTCCTTGTACCAGCGCCATGTTATTTTGATAAATATGACTGTGAAGTACGTTTTGATATGAGTGCGCTGCTTCCTATTCTGTTTTCCTTTTGCAGTTGAGCTTTGATTATTCAGGATCTCTTTCCTTTCCAAAAGAAGTTGGAAATCTTTGTATCTGGTGGCTTAATAGTAAGGAATTTAACTGCCAAACCAAAGGTACATGGTTTAAATCCACCACCTGCTAGATTTGAGAAGAGATTCAGGAGAAAACATGGGTGATCTCCTTCAATGTCATTGTATTGGAAGACGTAGCTACAGCATTAAGGCAAGAGAAGGGGGGAAAGCGGCAGTAAAATAAATATGCAAAGAGGGAGTAAGACTATTTCTATATGTCGATGACATCATACACAGATGACAGTGTACGACAAAACCATAAAAACTCAGCAAGAAAAAACAAACCACATTAGACCTAATAGACAAAATCCAGCATACAAAAATGAATTGGATTTCTTTATAGTAACATAGAAAATACTGAAGGAAATAGAAAAAAAATAATACTAATTACAATAACTAATCACAAGATGAAATTTTTAGGAACATAAAAGATCTAGACAAATAAAATTGCAAAATATTACTTCAAGAAACAATATAAAAGACATAGATAAGGATGGACTATGTTCATGGATAGGAAGACTAAAAAATTACAAGATGGGCAATCTCCTCCTGTGTGATTTACTACCTCTGAAAACCCACTGGAGGGTCAGCTATGGGTTGGTTATGACTCAGTGGCACACTGCAACAACATCTTCCTCAAGAATGACATCAGTACCTATGTTAGGATTGCATTGAACTTGTATATTACTTTTGGCAGATTTGTAACTTTTCTAATAGGGACTGATGCATAGTAAGTTTTATTACTATTTAGTGGAGAACATTCTCCTCTCCTCATTTCAATCATAAACAAACAGAAAATTTTTACATCTTCAAAGAAATTGATAATCAAATTTTAATGAATATTTGCATATTCATTAGGGGAAATAAAAACTAAAAAGACCTGTTTAGAGATACTGACCCTAGCATCTCAATTTGGTTTTCGGGCTCATAAGCTTTTTAAGTACTGTATATTGAAAGTAATTTAGGTGTGACACACAAGATTGATCCTTATTTTTTGTTCGGCTGTGTTGCAGAGATGTACTGCAGCATAAGTGAGTGCCACTTGACATCGCTTCTCCTTCATGGGAGACCTTATTAGCTAGGAAGATTCTTTTTCCCCCCTTTCTTTCTCTTAAATTTTATATTGGCTTGCATACAAAGTTCGTATACATTGTTTTTCATTTATGTTCATTGTGATTCTAAGAGATTACTCCTGATTTTCCCTATTCTTGACTTTGCAGATGGGAGCAAAAGGCCTAAGGAGAAGTGGATACATGCTTAGGACCCACAGTTTACTCTGTTTGATACTCAGTTTGCAAGGACTTCCTGGTTAAATATGCTGAATTCTCCTTGTGCTATATGATTGCAAAATTTTAAAAAAGCAAGTCATTTTTTCTTCTTCTTCTTCTTGCTTCCATAGCTCTGGGTGAACCAAGAGGATGGAGTAGAGGAAGGAACAAGTGATGTGCAGAATGGGCACTTGGACCCCAACTCAGATTGCCTCTGTTTGGGTAGACCACTACAGAACCGAGATCAAATGCGAGCCAATGTCATCAATGAGATCATGAGTACTGAACGCCACTACATCAAGCACCTCAAAGACATTTCTGAGGTAAGACCCGCTATCATCATACATGTGAAGCATACATTATTCCATGAATAATCAACAACCCTCCAGGCCAAGCTTTTAAGGCACACATGTCAAGGATGTTGTTGTTGTTATGTGCCTTCGACTTGCTTGCAACTCATAGCAACCCTATGTACAACAACCCTAAACCCTGCTCTATTTAGTGCCAATTGCACTGCCTCTGACACACCCATCCCAATTACCCCAGTCATTAAATCAATCCACCTCATAGAGGCTCTTCCCCTCCTGCGCCGTCCCTCCACCCTCCCAAGAATGATGTCCCTCTCCAAGGACCTGTCCCTCCTTACAACATGTCCAAAGTATGTCAGACGAAGCCCCAGAATCCTTGCCTCCAAGGAGTAGCCTGGTTTAACTCTCAGCAGGATGAATCTGATTGTTTTCTTGGCAGTCCACGGTATATTCAATAATACTCTTCTCCAGAACCACAGCTCAAAGGCATCAATTCTCCTTCTATCCTCCCCAGTCATTGTCCAACTCTCTGATGCATAACAAGTTACTGCAAATACCATGGCCTGTATCAGACGCACCTTAGTTTCCAGAGTGACACCATTGCTCTTCAGTACCCTAGAAGCTCCCTAACAGCAGACTTTCCCATTGTAATACATTTTTTTATTTCCTGGCTGTGGTGCCAAGAGTGTAGACTGTGGAGCCAAGCAGACTAAAGTTGTTAACAGTCTCAATCTCTTCACCATCCATTCTGATGCTACCAATTGGTCCAGTGGTGAGAATCTTTGTCTTCTTGACATTGAGCCTCAATCCATACTGAAGGCTGCAGTCCTTGACCCTCTGCAGCAAGCATTTCAGGTCCTCTTCAGTTTCAGCAAGCAGGGTTGTGCCATCTGCATAACATAGATTGTTAATAGGTCTTCCACCAATCCTGATGCCACACTTCTCCTCATAGACCCCAGCCTCTCAGATAATCTGCTCTGCATACAAGTTCAAAAGGTATGGAGATAGGACTCATCCCTGGTGTACGCCTTTCCCAATTTTGAACCGTGAAGTGTTTCCCTGTTCTGTTCTGACGACTGCCTCTTGGTCCATGTATAGGTTTTGTATTAGCACAATCAGGTGTTCTGGGATTCCCATTCTTCTCAGAGTCAGCCACAGTTTATTATGATCCACATAGTCAAACGCCTTTGCATAATCAATGAAACACAGATAGACATTCTTCTGGTATTCCCTGCTTTCAGCTAAGATCCATCTCACATCAGCCACAAGATCCCTAGTACCATGACCCCTTCTAAATCCAGCCTGGATTTCTGGCAGTTCTCTGCTGATGTTCCAGTCGTTTTTGGATACTCTTCAGTAGAATCTTGCTTGCATGTGAAATCAATGAGATTGTTCTATAGTTTCCACACTCTGTTGGGTCACCTTTCTTTGGGATAGGAATAAATATAGATCTCTTCCAGTCAGTTGGCCAAGTGGTTGTTTTCCAGATTTCTTTGCACAACTTGGTGAGCACATCCAGGGCAGCATCTGTTAGCTGGAATACATCAATTGGTATACCATCTATCCTTGGAGAATTGTTTATTTTTTCCTATTTACTTCAAAGCAGCTTGAACGTCTCCCTTCATCGCCATAGGCTCTTGCTCATATGTTGTTTCATTAAATTCTTCTGTGTCTGCCAATTCCTTTCAATACAGTGACTCAGTATATTCTTTCCATCTTCTTTTAATATTTCCTGGATCATTTAATATTCTTCCTAAAGCATCCTTGATTATAGCAACTCGAGATTTGAATTTGTTCTTCAGTTCCTTGAGCTTAAGAAATGCTGAACGAGTTCAGCCCTTTTGATTTTCTGACTCCAGCCCTTGCATATTTCATTGTATTATTTTGCTTTGTCATCCCTTCCTGCATTTTGGAATCTTCTGTTCAGCTCTTTAGTATCTTGGATTCTTCCTTGTGCTTTGGCTTCTCTGCACTCTAGTGCAATCCTCAGAGTTTTTTCAGACATCCATTTTGGTCTTTTATTTCTCTTCTGTCTTTGTAATGACCATTTGCATTCTTCCTGGACCATACACTTGACATCCTCCCACAACTCATTAGGTCTTTGCTCATTAGTATTCAAGGCCTCAAACCTGTTCCTGAGATGTTTCTGAAGGTCAGGTTGGATGAACTCAAAGTCATATTTTGGTTCCCGTGGATTCGGTTTAATTTTCCTCAGCTTCAGCTTGAACTTGCATATATGATCTGTTCCACAATCAGCTCCTAGCCTAGTTTTCACAGCTGATCTTGAGCTTCTCCAGCGGTTCTTTCCACAGATGTAATCGATCTGATTCCTATGCATACCATCAGGTGAAATCCATGTGCATAACCTGTGTTTATGTTTCTTATAAAACATATTTGCAATGAATAAGTCATTGATTGTGCAAAACTCAATCATTCTATCTCCAGCTTCATTTCTGTCACCAAGTCCATGTTTTCCAACTACTGATTCTTCTTCTCTGTTCCCAACTTTTGCATTCCAGTCACCCATTGTTTCAATACATCTTGTTTGCATGTTTGATCAATCTCCAACTGTAAAAGTTGGCAGAAATTATATATTTCTTTTTCTTTGCCTCTGGTTGCTGATGCATATATCTGAATGATAATGGTAGTCACTGGACTTCCTTTTATGTGGATGGATATTATCCTGTCACTCACAATGTTGTACTTCAAGACGGGTCTTTTGTAATTCTGAAAGCAACCCCATTTATTCTCACCTTTTCATCTCCGGAGTAATGTATCATATGATCATCTGACTCAGAATGCCCCATGCCAGTCCATCTCATCTCTCCAATGCCTAGTATGTCAATATTTATGCGTTCCATTTCTTTCTTAACAATATCTAATTTTCCTACATTCATGGTTCTCACATTCCATGTTCCAATCACTAGTGTCTGCTTGCAACTGTTCCTCTTCTTTTGTATTTCCATACTTGAAAGTTCTACCTCAGTTGCCCTGTTAGTCTACATGTGTTCTCTTGTACATAGGGTTTTCATAGGCCTGCTATTTCAGAAGTGGATGTCCAGTCCTTCTTCCTAGTCTGTCTCAATCTGAATGTTCAGATTTAGAGAAGTATCTGACAGACAAGCAATTGATAGAGCAGTGAAAGATAAATCTCTCATTGTGGAATTAACCATTAGTTACAGTGTTGTCCCTGCCCTTGGCCCAGTGTCTTGAGCCACTTATCTCCCAGCTCCACCCTGCACCAGGATACCCCTTCAATTCTACCATATCCCTTCAGCATTTATCTTCCATTGTCCAACCCTTGATCTGACAGCTTGTATCTGAAGCTTTCTTGGCTTCTGTAATTCCAAACATGTCAACCACTGACTATTTCTTTTTTTTTTTTTTACTATTTCTTATGCTGTGACCAGGTGTCCTAAGTCTAATGGTAATGTCTCTGAAGGGAGGGTGATGTGTCCTGTAGAACTGGTGTAGGGCCCGAAAGATCTTGGCTCAGTCTTGGGGCTTTTGTACCTGTAGGCATGGCAAAGCTTTTCCCATGAGTCGCTTCTCTATTGGCTGGCTGCGCGGCTTCCAGTCTCCCCCGTTCTGCCCTGTGGATCCCTCTGCCTCCCCTCTGGGCGTCCTGGGAACGATGAAAAATCAACAACCCTCCAGGGTTGTTACAATTCCAAGAATTAAGAAAAGGGGGCTATTTTGACAGCCCTCCCCACCCCAGCCTCAGATCCTTTTCCATGGAGGAGAAAACCCTTCTTGGTTTTTCTCTGTCTGCCTGTCTGATTCTCTCCTTTTATTTTTCTGCTTTTCTGTTTCTCTCTCATTTTCATTTATTCACATTAATTTTTTTTTTCTCTTTCTACCTGATCCCTCTCTATCTCCCTAATTTCACATTACCTCCTTCTGTCTCCCTCTCAAACTAGCCCTCAGATCTCTAACTCTTGGTTTCAGATCCAGTTGCTATCACCCTATGTAAGGGCCTGACCTCTTTCATTATCGTAAATCACATCTCCCTCTAAAACAGTGTTTCACAAACTTGAATGCACAATTGAGTCCGTGGGGAAATTGTTAAGCACACAGATCCTAGCTTCTTTGCATTTCTCTCCAACACATTATGAATCACACCTGCCTAGTTTATGTGATAGGCATCTCTAAGTTTTACAGTCATCCTTGGGGATGCTATTGCTACAGGTCCTCCTACATCACTTGAAGAAATACTGTCTTGAAGATTAAGCAGAAAGGAATTTGGAGAGAAGAATCCACAAGAGGCGAAATCTAGGTGTGTAAGACTCATCCCCCTCAATATGTTTCCCAACCACTGGCTAACTTTTTATTATTATTATTATTATTATTATTATTATTATTATTATTATTATGAAATGTTATAGAGAACTTGGATTTCCATTCATTCTTGTTGCACATTTTCCTCCCTGCCCCCCTTTACTATGCAGTTCTTATTCTGGACTCTTGCCATGCCCACAACATCTAATCATGCATTCCTTTTACGCAGTCCTCTCCCTTATCTGTTTTAATGCCATGTGCATTGCTTATCCCCTCTTTTCTTAGTTTTCCGCAAACCCCCATGTCAGTACTGTTTTATACCGGTGGAATTATGAAGTATTTGTATTTTTGTGACGGAGATATTTCTCTCAATATAATGCACTCCATAGTCATCCACATTGCAGAATATTTCATGAGTTCTTTGTTTTTCAGTGCTGCATAATATTCCATTGTGTGAATATACCACAGCTTCTCTATCCATTTGTTTGTTGATGGGCACTTGGGTTATTTCCATCTTGTTGCTATTGTGAACAAAGCAGCAATAAACATGTGTGTGCATATATCTCCTTACGTGGTAGTTTTTGTTTTTTTGGGGTATATTCCCAGTAGTGGAATTGCTGGGTCAAATGATATTTCTATTTGCAACTTTTTGAGAAAGCACCATACTGCCTTCCATACTGGTTGCAACATTTTACGTTCCTACCAATAGTGAATAAGTGTTCCATTTTCTCCACAAC